TAAATAATTTTCAGTAAAATATAGGGGGGGGGGGGTAACCATTTGAAAATTATAAGTTTGTATCACCTCAGGATACTCCTTTAGAAGTACAAAAAGATATCAGAAATTTAAAAATATGGGTTTTAAGTTTACTTAAAATTTCTAAACATCAGAATTTGAATAAATTTACCTTCTATTAAAGATGACAATGTAGTTGAGCATGCTTAAAAAAACACCCTGTTTATATTTTAAATTCATCATCAAATGAGGTGACGAGGGGTGACATAATATGTTTTAGAGGTTCATTTAGTATAAATAATTTGTGTTTGTGCTAGGAACGGTGAAAGACATAAGCGCCAAAATGTGATAAGAAAAAAAAAATCGTACCTTACAAAAGCGCCAAAATCGTATTGTACATAAGCGCCAAAATGAGATGAGAAAAAAAATCGTATTTTACAAAAACGCCAAAATCGTATCGTATATAAGCGCCAAAATTCTAGGTACCTGTGTGCTACGCAGTGGCGGCTCGTGCCTATAGGTGTGCAAGTGTGAGCTCACCACATATATTAATTAGATATAATAGTGAAAATGTATAATAATAATGCATTTATGTATAATAATAAATTAATTTTAACAAATATCTGTTTAACTGTATTTATTATATAAAAAAATTAAATTTTAAAAACAAACAAACGACAATTATTATTATACTCCGAATTAATATTTTTTAAAGTACTTAATATTATTTTCTAAAACTGTATAATCTCAAAATTAAAAATGCTAATAAATATTTTACTAATTACATTTATGCTTAAAACAGACTAATTTTTTTAAAATAAACTTTTGCAATAATTACACACCGCCTACTTTGAACACCACGAGCCGCCACTGGTGCTACGGTTAAAAGATATTAAATAACAGATAATATTATAATTAGAACTATATCGATCAAAAACTCCAAACGTTTAATCTTAATCGATAAATGTATTATTTTACAAAAACTCAACCAATTTATTAAATTTATATTTATTGCATGTATACATACCTATACTCATATTATATTTTAACAATGTATTATTGAACATTTTTTTAATGTAATATATTATATGAAATAAAATATTAAATTTGGCGCAAATGATAGGTCATTTTTATACCTTTGGCGCTTATGCCATGTGTTAAGTACAACAGGTATACAATATTAGATTGGCGCTTATGTCATACAAATTTTGGCGCAAATGATAGGTCATTTTTGTACCTTTGGCGCTTATGTCATGTAGCCGCTAGGAATATGGAAGATTTTTTGAAAAAAAGATGTATGCTATAAGGGATGTTTTGATACATGTTCAAATTTCCTTAATATTTTTACTTATTTTAAGTTACTATTTTCTGTTATCATCTATGAATAAATTATCCCTCTGTCACTTGAACAACATGAAAATTTAATTCAAAGTTTGTTATTGGTGTAATAAAAAAAATTTAAGTGATTTTTCTGAATTTTTTTTCTTTGTTATAGATAGAAAAATTATTTTACGTTTTTAATTCTAGGATTTAAAGAGTAAATTTTTATGGATTTTTAGTTAAATGATAATTTGCAAATTTATTCACACACAATACCTACCTACATATCCGCATAATTATATCGGTACTATTACCTATAGCCAAACTATGTGTAAAATGTTACGTCAGACATTAGGTGCACCGACAAAAATGATACATTTTTTTATATTTACTAATCTTTTGTAACTAAAAGTAAATCATATTATTCTATTTTCGTCATCTCTTTTTTTGTAACTGCTGCTTCAAACAATCCCAACTCAAGTTAATGAAAAATAAATTGTATAGTTAATCTCTACATATCGGCGTTACTACCTAGTACCTACATCATAGTTTTGAAATATTATGTAACAATATGTAATAATTTCAAACTATAATGCTTTTTTATTCTTAATTTCTATATTTATTACTAAGTAGCTGTCCTGCCCAGCCCTTTACGTACCAAAATTATTTTTTATATTTTTCATTATTTTTACCGTGCACAGTCAGTGGTAAGAGGGTTATTGTCACAAAATTGTTTTAAAGCTAGTCTGGTGGTCAGTAGGTAGTAGATACCTGTGGGGGGATTAGATAAATATTTTTTTATCTAGATAATGATACAAAGACAATAGACAAAAAACTATCTAGATAAAGATAATAAACAAATAAATGAAAATGTGTCTAGATAAAAAAAAAGATAATTTTTTTAAGTATATTTAAATCTAACTTCTTATTGCCGGGTTGCATGAACAATCACTAACAAATCAATAGTCAGCATGATTTAGGACAGTTAAATGAATACATTTTTCATGCAACCCGGCATAAGAGTACAAATTGCTATTGCTTCAATATGGTTAGAACACAGATAATATGTGTTATGTGTAAATGAAAGTTTGTAATGCAAATCATTATTAATGAATAATATAAATCAATAATACATTTTTAAAACTAAATATTTAATACTTATAAGTTATAATGATATAATATTAAATAAAAAAGACTTTTTTTGATGTTAAGTATTATTAATATAACTATTTAAGTATAATATGAGTTATTTATTGTATAAAAAATAATATTATTTATACAAATTAACTCTTCAAGATAAATTTATCTAGATAAGTGTCAACACGGCTAGTAGGTACTGAGGTAGTGATACATTTAAAAAAGAGGTTTTGATTTTACGTTTTCGGGTATTTTGAAGTCTTGAACGTTATTCAGTTGTAATGAATAATTACAAAATACTTAATTGCATAAAAACTATTAAATGTGTAGAACTCATATAGGTTTTGTCCATTTCCAATCAACTTCAAGTCGATTGGATAGTTAGTCTTAGTTTAGCTTTAGGTGTAATTGTGTAAAGTAAATAAAGTTAACAACATCAGCAAGCTATAACGTAGTAAATACAGTTGACTAAAATAGTAATTCCTATTAATATTGTCCAATAAACAAAATATATATATATGATGTACGCCAAAAACCCTGGTAGTTGAGGCGTATTAAAAAAAAAAATGAATCACTATGATGTACGACGTATTGCCTATATAAGTGTAGCAATTTGTAAGCCTTATTAAGATTAAAATTGTAATAACTAAAAATGTTGTAAACAAATAGTATTAGTACCTAATTTATAGCATATAACATAGTACATACCATCTAATATATTTCTTTGAGTTCATTTTTCATAAGGTATATCGATATTTGCAGTTCGTATTCCGATTGTAACAGTTGAAGAAAACTATAACAGCTTCGTCAACGGCGAAGCACACTAGATACGATTCAACAAGGTTTCACAGAAAGAGTCGATGTTTACGTAAGTAAATATTCATATACTTTTGAGACATATTTTAAAATCTTAAAATAAATAACTACTGCCGTGACAATCTGTTGAAAAGGAGCCGTAGACGTATTTAATAAATATTTAATTAAGTGCAATAAATAGTGTCTATGTAATACAAATGGGTGTTTCAAATAATAATTATAAAGTATTTACCTCATCTAGGCCAACTTTTTTTTATTCTGGACATATTCGTTATTAAAATTCCCAACAGAATACATAATACCACTGAAAACCTTTTGGATCTAAACTCTGATCACTCCTCAGTCCTCAATACTTCTAACCTTAAACACCTATCCAACCGTCCCCAACCACTTAAACTATTTTATTCTCACACCAATAAGCTCATATTCCATAACCTTATCCAACAAGAAATTAAATTAACTGTGAAATTAAAATCTACCGATGACATCGACTTAATATTATTTAAACCTTCCTTAAATTGTCCAAATCGAAGTACGAACATTTATAGTATATAAACGTCATAATATATACACTTTGGCGATAATATATTATTATAATAACTGTCCAGTTCAGTGATATTCAAATGTGCTCTGAATTACAATTTAATTGAAGCAAAAATGTTTCATCCAAAACATCGTGACCATAAAAAAGAGTGATACGTGATAACGTGCGGCTAGTTTTACATTTTTGTGGTTCGGTGATTGTTGTTTAGGCATTTAGGCTTTAGCACGGACTAAGATAAACTTTATCTTAGTCCAATGGCTTTAGTATAGATAGGTTCCTACATAGGCATGTTTTTTTTTTGTAAAATAAATAAATTACTCTAATAGATGCTATAATGATATAAACACCTCATCATAATATAAACTTAATAATACAAACGAAATGTATTCGTTCTCAATCGATTTTCGTACACATTGATTTATCATTTAATTCAAATTGAACACATAAACACTACAGTGACTAACTCCATGTCCAATTACGAGGTTACAGTGTCGAAGCCATGGGGGGAGGGGGTACCGGGTCACTTTGTATGGTCAACGATTGAAAGTGCGAAACGCGGACACTTTGTACGGTCGGGTAAAAAGGTGCATCGCAGAACGCGGACACTTCGTACGATACTATTGTATACAAAAAGTATATTTTATAAATATAAGTTATATACCTAAGTAGTAAGTATATATTCTCAATCTGTTACTGCCGTTACCGCCACAATTTCGTTCTTATTAAATTCTGGGTTGCTTATATAAACCTTTATCATGAACACTTAATTGTAAATTACAAAATGTCAATTAAAAAAAAAAGTATACAAGGGCAGCCCCCTTCTCGGCCAATATTTACCGTTGTTGCAATCATAGAACAGACCCCAAACAGTTGTATCTATGTTAAACAAATGTATTTTAAAGGTTTGGTTGTATATAGGTTCTACTTCTAAGCAAAGTGGATTTTAAGACCATGCCTAATCAAATCTATCTGAGTATCAATAATTACGAACTGTTAAGGAATTATTTTTTAAAAATATTTGTCAAAAATATATTATAAAAAGCTTTACATAGGAATATTAATATATGAATATTGAACACAAATGCATAATATTATATTTATCTCTAAAATAATAAAATAATATAGGAATTATAAATTATATTAGTATATTATTACTATTTGCTATTTATATGTAGTAAATGCGATCAATTTTTAACATAAATCTAGTGCATATAGATAGCGTATTACATATCTCACTTAACTGCAGTTTGAAATATTTGAATACAAACTGAAACGAAATCTATTTTCCAATTGTTTTATTTTCACAATACAAATCGTCTAATACATCGGGCAAGGTTTTTGTTTGAAACAACTGTTTAAAAAACTGTAATGATTTCTTTGGATATCTAGACCGATTCTGGTCATCGAAATCAACTTTGTATATTCCAAATTTTTCTCTATAACATTAAAATATTAATACAGACATTTTGTTTTAAAAATTATAATATCATACAATTAAATCTTTCTATAACGTACGCCAGAGGGGTATTAATCTAAATATCCGCTATATTGAGTGATAGGGTATTTTCTCACGGATATATTTTATCACAAGGCATTTAGAAATGTCAGCTATTGAGAATTTATCCGCATTAATCAGCATTCAGCAGTATCCGTAAACAGAAGTTTGACAGTAATATTTATATTAGTTATTATATATGAAAATATAAAATACGTATTGGTCTTTAAAATATTAAAATTAAAATATTATCATAATTACTACCTATAACTATAATTAAATATCAAAAATATGAAAATAAATATTACCACAGAAATAAGTCAGAATACCCTATTATACTTACTCGAATTTATTGAAAAATATATTTTTTAATAATTTAGTTTCCATAATATTGTTAAAGTTTTTTTTTAATTTCTAGATGAATTTAAAATAACTTTACCTGTATCCAAAAAACCATTCTAATGAATCCAAAAATGACCAGACTTGATAGCCGATCACATTACATCCATCCTCGTATATTGCATCGAGAACAGCACTTAAATATCCCTAAAAATGTGATGTTTTCATTTAACTTAGAAGTACGAGTATTTTAGGTGTTATTTAAGGCATACAAACAGTGGCATGTAAAATAATTTTTTTTAAATTTGAGTGAATCACTGTAATTTATGATTGAATATTATAGCGTATTAAATAATAAATATTTTTTTAATATTTAATTTAATAAATTACTTAAATATCGTATATTTACATAATGATATTTTATTTTAATTAATGCATTCTCGTCTTCGTTTTGGCCTTTGTCTGAAACTCCGTTTTCAGTAATAATAATCTTAGGATTTCCGTATGTATCTCTAATCCAACACAACAAATTACGCATGCCTTTGGGAGTTTCCTAAATAATTGTTCATCAAGTAATAAAATAAAATCATATATTTTCAATTTGGACACATACTTTTATCCACGTGGGATTTGAATAAGGAATCTCTTCAATTAATGATAATTCGAAATTAGAATCTAGAGTCTTTAATGGTTGATTCTGAGTTGATTGTAGCTTTGTTGCATGTACCGAAAAATAATGATTGATACCCAAAAAATCTAAAGTTCCTGAGAACAAAATAAAATATTAATATAATAGATATTATCATTTTCTAACTTGTGTAAAAACTAAAAAGTTATTATACATGCAACTATGCAAGTGGGTGCATATGCACCATTAATTCTCAAATCTCAAAAAATAGCAGATCAATCAAATTAACAATGAATATTTTTTAATCCTATAGCCTATATGGTATAATAATAAATTAAAAAACAATTAACAGTCAAAACTACAAGTAATAATACAATTCGTTGCATGTATGTTATAATAATCATAAGTGGCCAGAAAAAACTTTTGTTGACTGCAGTATACCTATATAGGGTAATTTACCAACCTTACTCAACCACCATTTCAGATTCTGAGCGGAGCGATAAATGTATTGATTTTACAACGATGTGTGTTTTTTATTTATTTATTTTTGTGTCTGTCGTCACGGTTTGGGGCAGTAAAAGTGCTTCAATTTTCTTCAACAGCAATTTATCTGGTAGGAAAGTGAATCTAGTTGGTGTATTCGGGAGGTAAAAATTTAAAATTCCTAGTAGTTTTCAAAAACGACAGGAAAACCAAATAAAAAATTTAGGAAAAACAGGAATTTTTACTCAAAACCAGTTTTCGGAAAAATCGATTTTGGTTTTTAGTGTAACTCTAAAAAAATGAATATAGGTACTTGAAATTTTTACTGAATGTTTGTGATATCATTTCCTCATTTGAGAAATAGAAGTTTGTTTGCCACAGGACACTCCTGCATGTAGTACCAACATTCAAGAATTAAAAATGTGATAGTATATATCTATTTAAACATTTAAAAAATTAAAATTTGAATTATTTTATTATTAAAGGGAACAATAAGGGGGGCATGATTGGTAAATCACGCTGTATATCACTAACATTAACCTGTACATAAATGTATAAGCTCCCTATCAAGCACGTAAGAACGTTTAACTCACTAAATGTTTTCAACAAAAATTTTTTTAATGGAATTAGAATGACAATGGCTAGTTTTCTAGAGAGTTGGATTTTGTAACCGTGATTAACTGGTTTAAGAACTGTGTAAATTGCAGCCACTGGCCCATGTTTCTAGCTTCACTACAAAAAATCATTATTTGATTATTATTGGCTTGATGAGATCCATTGTTTACCTAATACCAAAATGATAAGACTATTGTTATTTTTACAAAATGTTTTTCATGAATTGCCAATTAATGGTTTTATATTGACAAAAAACTTCTTAATTCAAAATAGTTTTCAGTTTTTAACTATAAATCTACAAATCTTAATATTATTTTTACCAATGAAAATTGAGTGAATTAGTCTTAGTTAATTATTACTACCTATATGGTGATAACAAACAATTTAATAGTCAATATTAAGCTTTAAAAATAATATTAATTGATTAGGTACTAAAATTACCAATTTAACAGTAAATCAATTAATTTACAAATATTATCATTTATTAAATTGGTACCTTTGATTAAATACTTTTCGTTTTCACTAAAATCAAGCAGTCGCTTCAATGATATTCCACTAGATTGATTAATTTCCATAACTCCTTGTTTTACATCTTCTGGGTAGTCTCCAAAAAATAACGGATGAGCAAAAATGCCAAACTGCCACATACGAGCCCGGTGAGCAGCGTAATGATCTTCTAAGGAATTTACATTTTTTGGATAATACCATTCCATGTTTAGACTAATGCCTATTTGACCTAGAATGCCATTCTAGTTAATAACTTTGAATTTACATCAAATTTACGTTGTATGATACTTAAAATAAAACCATTTATTATAAATAGTTCATATTTAGGAGGGCTGTTTCCCTAGAGAGGTTATTATTATTTTTTTTTTAATTTTCATTGTTTGAATCCTTTCATACTTTCTGTCATCCATTATAATATAATATTTTATAATTGTTTCCAATACTTATAATATTATCATTATTATTAGCATAAATGCTTTAGCCGTATTCATGTCGGATGTAGACTATAGAGACATCTCTTCACTGGACGGAAAATTTCTAAATACGGCTTGATTATAATTATACATATTTATACTTAAGCCTTAGTGGAACTAAGGTTATTTTAAGGATAGGAGTTAATTAGATCTAATCACATAATAAAAAGTTAAAACTGGATGAATTTCAAATTTTAAAACGGATTTTCATTCATTCATTTTTTAGTTTTTTTACTGATTTGTTAGAATATAGTAAACTTTTTAATGAATCAAAATCTGTCTAGAAATCAAGTCCTATAAACATAATTTTTAAAATAAATGTAAAATTTTCCCGGGTTGAAAGTCCTATAAATTCATCAAAAATTCAAATCACCAAGGATGGTAATGTCTGTATAATTGTCTTATATTTACTCCTTAAAATACGAAATATTTCTGTCCCTTCAGTTTTGAGACTCACCATTTTGCAAAGGTCTAAATTCTCTGTTATATAAATGGTAAGCAGTTGCGTGTGCTAATAGTGTGTGATGAATGGCCAAATAATCCCCAAAACCACTTTTGTTTAATGCAGGTGCTCCGGTTTCATTTCCGTAGCTTTCTGATACTAAATAAGGTTCATTAATAGTTATCCAATACTTCACCTAAAATAAAATATGTATAATTATTAGAACAATAATTTGTATTATTCGTACCATAAATTAAAAAAGTGTTTTTACTTACACGATCGCCAAACGTTCTGAAAACAACTCGAACATAAAGGGTAAAGAATTCTATTATTTGTTTGTTACACCACCCTCCCAAATCTTGTATACACTGAGGCAAATCCCAATGATAAATTGTCACCTAAAATGTCATTGTCATTTACATGATTTGTACGTTCTCTTGTTGCAATGGTTAATTTTAAAGATATCATATTATGTATAATCAATTGTAAAAGAAGTCATACCTCCCGCCACATTTAACTTATTGAGCCATGACTGATTTTGGATTATTGCTAGACTTTAAGAGGAGGAATAGAAAATGTTCCTATTTGTATCAATAAAAATATTACATAGGTATCTATCTACGTATTTAATATTAGTATACAAATACTATATACTCATAGGCAATTTATTTTCACAAATTCAAGTTGTATATAGCAATATATTAAGTGGTGCACACACAAGATAAAAACTGACTTATATTTTAACAAAAATGATTTTTATTTACCTCATATTATATCCTAATATCTTAGAAATAATTCTATAATAAATAAAAAAATGAACTTTTTAAATACTTACTACAGGTGTTATATTATTCTCAAGCAATTTATCAATGAGTTGATTGTAGTATTTAACACCAGCAGGATTAATGTAACTATCTTCACCTCTAGGTAAAATACGTGGCCAACTTAACGAAAATCGATATGATTGGACCTAGAATCAGTATATAATTAAATTTATTGTAAACTATTATCTATTTTAATATGTTTTTATAATTTGTAAATATTTTTTCCTCTATCACATTTACATAGTATGCCCAAGGCTAGGAAGTACAAATTAAAAATGTCATTCAAAAATAAAATAAAAAAATATTTATAATTTATTTCGGGAAAAACATAATAATACACAAGTCGTCATTTCAGATTTTACTAGACAGAGACAACATTTCGACCAGCTCTTATATACAAATAATGCATTTTTGTTTCTTGTAACTCTTGAGCTATCATAGCTTTGGTAATAGCTAATTAAATAAAAAAATAAATCATATAGGTAGGTAGTTTCTCCGGCCTTAGGAAGGCGGAAAGTATACTCGTTTCATTGAACTAGAGTGGTAACCACTAATGACTATTGTTAAATGGTATTTCTCGGTAAAACACGATTGAGCTAGCGAAAAAACACAATCTGTCGTGACGAAAGTTAAGTTAGGACCATATAAAATAATGTTATTTTTTTAACTCTTACCATATTTGTATTATTGTAATAACCTATTTAAATTAATATTTTTTGTATAATTAAGTAATTCAACATTGTGGCAGATGGCAACATAGCATAACTTTTTATGCTCAAATTTGATTCGCCGAACAATAAGGTGTTAAGGCTTCGTAAAAAATGTGTTTAATGCTCAGTCGTATGATATAGCTGTATTAGTATATTACTCCACTACTCGCCTGCTATATTATACCTATATTAGTACATATTTATAAATTTAATTAAAAATCTGTCCACGCTAACCATAATGTCAATATAGGTACACTTTATTTTATGTTTTAAAATATTACCATCTAAACATTCTAAACCCATATTTTACCTTTAATAGGAATTAGATAACTTTATTAATGCATTTATAGAAATATTAAATGTATTATTTATTTGATTAAAATATTCATTCGTGGCATAGGCGTGTTTACGGGTATGGCCAATATTGCCCATGGCCATACCTGCAGAATCAGCTTCTCTCAGAATTTTGAATTAATTTTAATAAAATTAATAGCACGCTAGTAAAATAGTAAAATATGTAGCATGTAGTGGCAATAAGTAAATTTTTTTGAATTCAGACATGACTAAATAAAGTATTTAATCTTGGATTCAGATTTCAAGGAGCTAGACATTTTATTGTCGACACTTATGGGTCGGATTAAGGGACATTTTTTGTGGGAAACATCTGTGGATAAATTCTAGACCCACCTATGTTCATTGGCCACCTGGAAATACATTACAGTTAGAAAATAAGGTATAATGGTCCAACTCATCACTGAGAAATAAGGATAACCTTCTATTGTTGAAATTAGACGACTAATAATAATCCATACGGCAAGCTTTTATAATTTTGTTATTTGATAAAATAACTGTTATAGTGTGAATTGCACTGAATTGTAATATAATTATAATATAGTAAATTCAAAATTGTATATTTGTAGTAAATATATTATATACCTATATGTAGGTAGTAGATATTTATACATTCTAAAGTATTTTAATCTATCAAACTATATAAATTATTTCCTTATAGTATAAGATACTAAATAAATACATAAACTATAAAATCAGTTTTTCTGATTTGGAGGTTTAACCACCATAATGCCACCTATATAAAGACTGGGGTGGGGGAAGCGTGCAAATTTTGGTCTCTAGGCGCTAAATGGCTTAACACAGTTCTGCAGTGCCTAGAATCCTAAATACTTATGCGGTAATGCTTCTATTTCTTAAGCTCGGTAGCACTAAACTATAATATGCAACATATAGTTGAAAGTATTGTTCTATTGTAGTTGTATACTATTGTACATAGTTTTGTGACGAGTAGGCGATATCCGCGACCAACTTCACACGCTGCTTTCAAAAAGTATTCATATTATTTATTATTGAATATTATAATATTAATATAGATACTAAGACTTTTTTAGATATTATAAAATTAGAATACCATTAATAATAATTTAATAAAGTAGGAATTAAATTGACAGTTTGGACATTGGACGTAAAGACCGGATTTAGCATATTATGCATATTCATATTTTTATAAGCTATTACATGTAGTAAATGGATTTTCATCAATCATAGTTAAACAAATAATGTTACAAATTTTTATTTTGCATATTTTTGCATATTTTGGGTACAAGTGCATATTTTCCATAAAAATGCATGTTTTTGCATATTACGTATATATTTAAATATTTTTATTTAATTTTATAACTGTATGTACCATTATTATACACAAATTTGTTCAAAACACAAAAATTGAAAATATTTTTAAAAATATAATAGGCAGATTGTATACTGATTTTCCCGTCGTATAGTTTTATCTTATCTAACATTATCAAGTTATCGACTATCGTTTATTTATACTACAGAACACAGACTGACAGACTAACGACTGTAGTTCGAAGTGTACATTCGGCAATAGTCAACGACGTCAACGTAGTTCTAAATAAACACATATTAATTTTATATAACATTGTTTGTGTTTTTAAATTACAATGCCAATAATGTCAGAATATAGAATAATGCCAATAATATCATGCCAAAATGGCCAGAGGGAGGTAATGACGAAAAAGTTTTGTTGATGTTATCCGATGCAGCCCCATATATGGTTAAGGCTGCCAAAAATTTAAAACCATTTTATTCCAATCTTATTCATGTGACTTGTGCTGCTCACGGGATTCATCGGATTGCAGAAAATATTATGGATATTTTTCATGAAATAAACGATTTAATTAACAACGGAAAAAAGATTTTTTTGAAAGCTCCTTATAGAATTCAATTATATCATGAAATGCTACCTAATAAACCATTACCGCCCCAACCTATAATAACACGATGGGGTGCTTGGTTAGAATCAGCAATATTTTATGCAGATAATTTCGAAAATTTTAAAAATGTTATACAAAGCCTACCAGAAGACGATGTAAAAAGCATTAAAAACTGTAAGCAAATTCTAACTAAATCAAATATAATTAACGATTTAACTTATATTAAAACAAATTTTTCGGTTATTGTTGAAAGTATTAAAAAGCTTGAGACTTCAGGTTTGCTACTCATAAATGCTTTAGAAATATTTGAACAAGTTACAAATGCTATCAATAATCTTTCAGAAAATGAAAATAGCGTATTAATTAAAAAAAAATGTTCCGACATTATTAAAAAAAACAAAGGCCTGCTAATTTTAAAAGAAATTTCTAAAATACACCAAGGTGAGAATGTTGACTTAAGTTCTTCTATCAAACACTTTTCCCCGGAAATGTTGTCAAGTTTTAAATATGCACCCATAACAAGTGTTGATGTGGAACGAAGTTTTTCTGCATACAAACATATTGTCACAAATCGCCGTCATAATTTAACTGAGATCAATATGGAACATATTATTGTTACTTATTGTTTTTCCAATAACAAATAAATTATATATTTTTTATCACAATCATAAATTCATAAAATATATTGTATATAATATTGTAGTTTATTATTTTTTTTTCATCATAAATGTTTTGATTTTATAAATTTTCCATAAATAAAAAGCTGTAATAGGTAATAAAAATTTATTTTGCATGTTTTGTGATATTTAAGTGCATATTTTCGTCATAAATGTTTTGATTTTATAATTTTACCATAAATAAAAAGCTGTAATAATCAAAAATTATTTTGCATGTTTTATGATTTTTAAGTGCATATTCAGAACTTTTTAAGTGCATATTTGCATGCATATTTTAACATTTTAAATGCATATAAATCCGGTCTTTAGTTATAAGCACCTATTAGATAGCTATTAATTATTACATCATTGATGAAATACTTGCCTTGAGATCTTTAAGAAGCTTAACATCTTCATCGATTTTATAATAACTATTACAAGCAATATCTCCAGTAATAGATGTACAGAATTGTTTAGGTTTTACTCTGTACATAGGCACTCCTTTCAATACACACAATACTTTATGTTCTAAGATCATATTGACATTTGGAAATTTTGAATCATCCGCTTCTGAATCGTCAGCAAATAATTCTTGTCTAGTGTGAGCGACTCTATCCCATATGCTCTCGGTTTTTCCTTACAATATAAGTATATTACAAAATGAAATTGAATTATCTTAGTTAATGTTTTATCTAGATTCTAGGGTAAAATGTTGTTAAGAACATTTAAATCCGTGTTGAAAATGTTTCAAACTTGCATTAAAGGACCATAGTCGATTGTGCACTGTAAATACAATTATACTAAATTGTAAATACTAAATACTTATGTATTAACATTCCATGCAACATGCAATATTAATTTTTAGATACTAAAAAAAATCAAGGAACCTATAGTTTTACAACTAAGTCAAATAGTTTATCTTGAAGTTATTTTTATATGTTCAAATATTTTTGATAATATGGAAAAATTCTACATACCATCATCATTCCATGCACCTTCGATTTGGTATGCTGAAGAAGCAGTACCGAGCATAAATTCTTCAGGAAATTGTTTGTATTTACATTTAAAATGTTGTAATGAGAATTCTAATAAAATAAGTAATTAAATAGTTTAGAAACATTAAATTTTCACTGAAAAATATTAACATTTTCTAAGCACCATAATATTTTCAAAATATTTTAGTTCGTTTTAAGCTATTTATAGGCATAAGAACATTTTGATAAAAAAATTTTCATTCGTCAAAAAACTTAAGTTGGAATTTTAACCAAATTCATCAATTTTCGAAAACTTTCCAATTATTTTGAGTTGGATAGAAATGCATAGAAAATGTTTTATTAATATCTAATATTTGAAAATGTAATACAAAATTCCCCATAAGTTTTCTTAACTGTACAAAATACTAAAAGTTCAAATGTTAACAAAATACAAAATGTTATCATATTATTTTAGTTAACATTTATAAAATGTTTAATTTTTACAGCTAAGAATTGATAATTTAAAATAAGGTTTCTCGTGTGCATTTAATACCGGAACGAACATTAAAAAAATTATATAAACACAGTTTTTCATAATATAGATATGTAAGTTCAAATTTGGACAAAACTAGATATTTAAACGAAAAATAATGATTTTTCTTATTTAACGTCAACATGTAGGTACTACATAGTCGTTACCCACTTTTTTATGTTTTATTTTTATTACGTGTATCTAAGCCCGACGTTAACTCCATCTTACAAACGCTAAACGCGTAATAGCAAAACAATATAAACAATTTCAAAAAATACTATTTTTATTTTATAATCAATGATGATATAATAGGTATACTTACTATTCAGTTGAACTGTCATTTTTCACATCTAACAGGTAGCAGAGTAGGTAAATTAAAGCACGCGATAGCCGTTAGACAAGTCGGCACTAAGTAACGATTAAATCGTCTAAGGAACTATTTTTATTATTTATAACATTTACCAACTCCAAACTATCCTTGATAACCCCGTCCTCACAGTTGCGGACTATAAGTAGGTTGATTAAATGACAAACACAACATAAGTATAAAATATACAGACATATCTCCACATAGGCCTTAAATTATTACCCTAAATAAATTGATTAAATCATCAAACGTTTACTTTGGTAGCCAACTCGTACCTATCTAATTTCTTATTATTTCCATTTATTTTATAATATATTTAAACGGTAACATCAACAATTTCAGTGCTAATTATTTCGAAGAGTTTAAACTGTTAAAATTATATTATTTATATTTTTAAGTTTTTTTAAAAATTATTTGAACATAAATTCAAGGTGCAGACATTTAGGTTTTGACATTTGACTTGAGATCCATACATGACATACTAATAATATTAAATGTGGTAATGTCTTTACAAAATACAGTCTTTTTTGTAAATGAAAATTTTACTAATTGTTTAATTCTGAAATTTTCTAATAATTTTGCTTAACTGAAAACAATCCTAACTTAAATTGAGTGATTTTATAATTTCATCATGATTTTGATACATAATAATATGCTCATTCTACAAATACAGTGAGTCTTATAACCGAATAAATCTTATAGGCAAAGTGGTGAAAAAAAGAAAATATTTATGAATTTTTTTTACGATATATTTTGTTTCATTTTAATCTACTTAAATATATATTATATATTACTTATTATTTATTAGTGACTAAACGAAAAAAATATGATTAAAAATTAAAATTATATTGCATTATACAAAATATTAAATACACATTAATAAAAAATTATAAATTATGTATTTACGTACTTATCATTTATGAAAATAATTTAGAATTTTGATTTGTTTTGAATTATGTTTTAATATTCCAGAAATATACTGTTCATACTTATATTGTATATTAAAATTATTCCCCTAACCTCCCGAGTGATCAGGAATGTATTTATAATTTATAATTACGATAAATGTGAAATGCGATACAATTTGTTGTATATACACATTATTAAGCATGAATCGAAATCAGTAATAATCTACAAAAATATATAATTGTTAAAAACCAATTGATTTCAAAATTTCAACCAAAAATTTTCATTTTCTACTATTTTTTTTACAAAATTTGAGTCTTATAAACGAAATGGTGTGTCTTTAAAGTCTTATAACCGAATTTTTCATAATGTATTTGGATACGTCCGGACCATTCTAGATGATTTTGAATCTATTGAGCGACTGAACCTTAAATCCGTGAGTCTTGTAAGCGGTGTCCACTGTATTATATTATATTCCCCAAATAAACCTTCGGAAAATAAAATATTTAACTTTGAAATAAAAAATTTTAATTAAAAAAAATACATCAAACAGAACTAGGAATAACTTGTCTAATATTTATAAATACATGTTAGGTACTTCAAGACAAAGTTCATTCCAATAGTATACAAATTATAAAATATAGTCATAGCCATAAATTAATTTAATTATTTTTTATCATATCTACCTTCAAGGTCTGGTGTAATATCATAACAAATTTAAAAGGACAGTAGCAACCTTATTTAGTCTTAATAAGAAAAATTCCTTAATTAACTATATTAGTTGTATAGGTAATGACTACTGAGTAATGACATCATAAGTCGTTATAGTAGCCAATAGCCATGTTATAGTTAACATAAAAATTATACAACTCATACAACTTATAATAATAATGAGATGGTAAATTATAGACTATGGTACAAATGGTAATTAATGGAAAACAAATAAGAGGAAAAGAACTGATTTACTATTTATAAGAGATAGTATTACAAGTAAATACTTCTGGATATCACATTTTGAACGGCATACTCAATTAATGTGTTTCTATATTACTTTAATGAATAACTTTTGTATTTGTATGTGAATCAAAGATAGTCTTTTGTCGTTTGGATAACAAATAATAAATACTAATAATTTAATCATAAAATAATATTTAATATCATTAGGTTAAATTATTTTTTTTACAAGAAATTTTATATTACTGTTAAAAAATAAGCAATACTTAAGTCAATACAAAATACAACAAAATTCTCATAATAATATAAATAAATTATATTTATTTTTGCTACATTTATCCTTCTGAGTTTTAAAATTAAATAAAAGATATCAGCAAAATTACTTGTACTAGAACTATTATTTTTAATGATGCTCTCGTACACTATGTTAATAAAAAATAACTGATTATAATAATATAAACATCAAAGGTTCATAACTTATTAGTTTTATAACTTGAAAAAAAAACTAAATGTTAATAATATATTTCTTACAAAATTAATTTATGTCTTATTTATAAAAAGGATTTTTAAAAAACAAAACATTATATTTCATTGGTCTACCCTACTTTTATTCAATAAGTCTTGGTTTGGCTACAGAAAGAAGATTTATTAGGTACATTACAATAATTGTTACAAAAAATTCACTCAGTATAAATAATAATTTGGCATGCAACAGTTATTACTTTTTTTCATTTATAAACACATTAAATAAAAATAATAAAATATTAAAAGCATAAATGGTTATGCCACCATAAAACACACAACGTATACATTGATAATTCTTACCCTGTATCAAAAAACAAAAAAAATGTCTTCATATGGGAAAACTTATATAAACGTAAAAATAAAGCAATTAACCAAATATAAAAACTGAGTTTGGATTATTTTATCACAGTCTTATGTTGTAACAGTAAAATATGTGTTAAAACTTAAATGCTAATAATAAAAAAAATATATCAATACAGTTAATGTAATTGATTAAGTATGAGGAATAAACTAGTGAATAGGTTCCACAAAATTATTTATTAAATACCAGATTTGTATTTATGAACATGGAAAGTAAACGATTCACTGCTCATAATTTGTTGACAAATTTTTAACAAAAAATACTAGTTTACAGTTAAAAAATGATAGCTAAGTTATTAAGGCAAATAGAAAAAATATTTACAATCAATTAACCATGATAACAGAAATTAAACCAGTGTGTAATCTTCAGTGTCTGAAATATTATTAAGCGATTATTGTTTAAATTTTAATACATGACAGCTAAAGAGAAGAAGCAATTATTGTAATACTGTTGAATATGATATATCAAACAATATCAAATACTTAATAGAAAATATTGGTTTTTAAAAGAAGTAACATTATCAAAACAATAGAAAAATATGTCAACTAAACAAAATTGTTGTTTTTTGTAAAAAAAAAAAACAAATTAAATAATTAATGTTAGTTTCATTAAATTCATACCATAGAAAGATTATTTTTATTTTTATTTTAGATAATAAGAATGGAAAACTGACTTGAGACAACAATAGTTCTTACAAATTACATTTACCACTTAAATTAAATTTTAGTTTTATATATTTCAAAGAAATATGAATTTAATGTTTGAAGTTATTGAAAGCAGTTACATACAGAAAATGTTGTGATATGTGTTAAGCAAATGTTTTTAAATGGTAACATACATACTTGTATATTCACATATGCTCTAATTGTCTCAGATAACGTCCATTTTAGTTTTGACATACTACTGACCTAATGACGCAATAAGAATTCTTAAATAAACTTGAGTTGTTTCTTAAAGTTTTAATGAAATGAAATTTTTTTCATTTAATTTCAGAATATAAAATAAACAAATATCAAATAGTTAAGTATTATAAGAACTAGTTTATATGGCGAGAAGGGAACATTTTAGGAGAAAAAAATTGACTTTGAATAAACATTGTGACAAATTCAAATTTATTTACAGAATTTTTACCCTATCATTAGATTAATCAATACATTAGAACAAAAATAGTTTGATTTAACAAAAAAAGACCGCTTCCATTCCTTTTAATAAAACTCCATAAATGACAATTCTTAGTTCAAGTAACTAATAATGAAAACAATTTATATTCTGAGTCATGGAAATTATAAAAATACCAAATCAACAATTTTTTTTTTTTGTATTGACCAGATATCATTAAATAAACAATTCATTTTGATCATTTGAGAAGATTATATAATATACATACTACTTAACTATGTCTTACATTATATTAATTTCTAAAAGCATCAATTAATGAATATTTAATAAGTTCTTAATTTAATTGGTCATATACTTTTGAAGTCATAAAATATTTTAAAAAACACGGAGTTCGTAATTGTCACTTATGGTTATCTATAAGAATAATTTAATTATGTTTTTGATACAAAAAATAAACATAATGAAAATAAAATATAATTAAACAGATCTTAATAAAAAAAAAATCAATTGAAACCATTAAAAAATTTGTCTACAAAAAATATATGGTTAGATAATGAAAACTAGTTTAAAATTTATAAAAACCTAAAAATTGTCTAAATTAAATTAAATCATAAAAAAACAAAATATAACTTAAACATGGCAATAATAAACAATACCAATTTATTTCTCATTTGTTTCTCATTAGAAAATAATATGTTTTGTTCTTATTTAAATTTTAAAAATATGAAGGATAAATGTGAATAGAACATTGAAACTAGTGTTATTATACATTTTAAATCCTCAACATAAATTGTTTTAACTTACGCTGTTGTTATAAACACAATTCACATTACGTCTACAAAAAACTCGCAAGGATTTCCCATTGCCATACGGAATGATTGTTGACTAGCTGAAAGGTCAGTAGGTACATTTGGTGGAGCCATCACTTGAGATTTTTCTGAGCCACTTGACTTATCTACAGTTGATGGGGCGGCAACTGGATTCTGTTGAGCTGTACCGCCACTATGGTCACTCATTGCTAACCCAATCATATTTTGTTTCATTACATCTGATCCAGACCTACTACCACCTATAAAAATTCACAATTGAATATATTATTTTCATCGTAAATAGAAATATAATTGCCAATTAAAAAAAAATCAATTAATACTTCATGTTTTTTTTCAACTACCTATCACACTATTCTCAATGATGTGACTACCCAGTGTATATTATGCACAACAGATGATTCTATTTGTTAAAACTGTGTCTATATTCCCGACAAGTGTTGACCAACTTACATACATAAATTAACATTATACAATTATATACTAATCCATACATTATTTTGCCTTATAATATTTTATAAATTTGATTTTGTAAAATCAACCTGTAACTATAAAATGAAAAATTTAAAAAAACCATTTAGTCATATG